GTAATGTTGAAGGATCAGTTATGGAAGGAGAAAAGAATATGAATGTGTAAATTCAAGAATTATGTGGATTAAAGTAAAGGTGGATTGCAAAAAGTGGGCCATAATAAGCGTGTATGCACCTGGAGAAGAGAGGAATGTAGAGGAGAGAGAGATTTTGGGAGATGTTAAGTGAATGTATAGGAACCTTTGAACCAAGTGAGAGAGTAATTGTGGTAGGGGACCTGAATACTAAAGTAGGAGAAACTTTTAGAGAGGGTGTGGTAGTAAGTTTGGGGTGCAGGTGTAAATGATAATAGGAGCCCTTTGATTGAACTTTGTATAGAAAAAGATTTAGTTATAGGTAAAACATATTTTAAGAAAAAGAGGATAAATAAGTATACAAGATATGATGTAGGGCGAAATGACAGTAGTTTGTTTGATTAGTATTGGTAGATAGAAGACTGTTGAGTAGATTCTGGATGTACAGTTTATAGAGGGGCCACAGATATATCAGATCATCTTTTTAGTTGTAGCTACACTGAGAGTAAAAGGTAGATGGGATACAAGGAGAATAGAAGCATCACGGAAGAGAGAGGTGAAGGTTTATAAACTAAAAGAGGAGGCCGTTAGTGTAAGATATAAACAGCTGTTGGAGGATAGATGGGCTAATGAGAGCATAGGCAATGGGGTCGAAGAGATATGGGGTAGGTTTAAAAATGTAGTGTTAGAGTGTTCAGCAGAAGTTTGTGGTTACAGGAAAGTGGGTGCGGGAGGGAAGAGGAGCAATTGGTGGAATGGATGATGTAAAAGAGATAGTAAGGGAGAAAAAGTTAGCATATGAGAAGTTTTTACAAAGTAGAAGTGATGCAAGGAGGAAAGAGTATATGGAGAAAAGGAGAGAGTTAAGAGAGTGGTGAAGCAACGTAAAAAGAGAGCAAATGAGAGAGTGGGTGAGATGTTATCAACAAATTTTGTTGAAAATAAGAAAAAGTTATGGAGTGAGATTAACAAACTGAGGAATCCTAGAGAACAAATGGATTTATCAGTTAAAAATAGGAGAGTTATTAAATGAGAGTTAGAGGTATTGGGAAGATGGAGGGAGTATTTTGAGGAATTGTTAAATGTTGATGAAGATAGGGAAGCTGTGATTTCGTGTATAGGGCAAGGAGGAATAACATCTTGTAGGAGTGAGGAAGAGCCAGTTTGTGAGTGTGGGGGAAGTTCGTGAGGCAGTAGGTAAAATGAAAGGGGGTAAGCAGCCGGATTGATGGGATAAAGATAGAAATGTTAAAAGGAGGTGGGGATATAGTTTTGGAGTGGTTGGTGTGATTATTTAATAAATGTATGGAAGAGGGTAAGGTACCTAGGGATTGGCAGAGAGCATGCATAGCTCCTTTGTATAAAGGCAAAGGGGACAAAAGAGAGTGCAAAAATTATAGGGTGATAAGTTGTTGAGTATACCGGGTTTAAAGTGTATAGTAGAGTTATTACTGAAAGAATTAAGAGTAAGACAGAGAATAGGATAGCAGATGAACAAGGAGGCTTAGGAAAGGTAGGAGGTGTGTGGACCAGGTGTTTTACAGTGAAACATATAAGTGAGCAGTATTTAGATAAGGTTAAAGAGGTTTTTGTGGCATTTATGGATTTGGAAAAGGCATATGACAGGGTGGATTGGGGGGCAATGTGGCAGATGTTGCAGGTGTATGGTGTACGAGGTAGGTTACTGAAAGCAGTGAAAAGTTTTTACGAGGATAGTGAGGCTCAAGTTAGAGTATGTAGGAAAAAGGGAGATTATTTCCCAGTAAAAGTAGGCCTTAGACAAGGATGTGATGTCACCGTGGTTGTTTAATATATTTTAGATGGGGTTGTAAGAGAAGTAAATGAGAGGGTCTTGGCAGGAGGCATGGAGTTAAAAGATAAAGAATCACACATAAAGTGGGAGTTGTCACAGTTTCCCTTTGCTGATGACTCTGTGCTCTTGGAGATTCTGAAGAGAAGTTGCAGAGGTTGGTGGATGAATTTGGTAGGGTATGCAAAAAAAGAAAATTAAAAGTGAATACAGGAAAGAGTAAGGTTATGAGGATAACAAAAGATTAGGTGATGAAAGATTGAATATCAGATTGGAGGGAGAGAGTATGGAGGAGGTGAATATATTCAGATATTTGGGAGTGGACGTGTCAGCGGATGGGTCTATGAAAGATGAGGTGAATCATGAAATTGATGAGGGAAAAGGGTGAGCGGTGCAGTTGGGGAGTCTGTGGAGACAAAGAACTTTGCCTTTGGAGGCAAAGAGGGGAATGTATGAGAGTATAGTTTTACCAATGCTCTTATATGGGTGTGAAGCATGGGTGATGAATGTTGCAGCGAGGAGGAGGCTGGAGGCAGTGAAGATGTCATGTCTGAGGGCAAAGTGTGGAGTGAATATAATGCAGAGAATTCGTAGTTTGGAAGTTAGGAGGAGGTGCGGGATTACGAAAACAGTTGTCCAGAGGGCTGAGGAAGGCTGTTGAGGTGGTTTGGACATGTAGAGAGAATAGAGTGAAACAGAATGATTTCAAGAGTGTATCAGTCTGTAGTGGAAGGAAGGCAGGGTAAGGGTCGGCCTAGGAAAGGTTGGAGGGAGGGGGTAAAGGAGGTTTTGTGTTTTGGCTTGGACTTCCAGCAGACATGCGTGAGCGTGTTTGATAGGAGTGAATAGAGACAAATGGTTTTTAATACTTGACATGATGTTGGAGTGTGAACGAAGTAACATTTATGAACACCTTGGTGCCCAACTCATGCTAGACGTTTTGTTCCAAGACAACCAGCTTTCACGCAGGAGGCTTACAGCTTTTCATCTCATCCTCTGTATGCATCGACCAATTAGAGATTTTAAACAATTCTAGGGATTCGCAAGAACAGGCGAAATATGGTTAAAGCCACCCCGTAAAAGGGACTGCGTACCTTGTTCCAAGTTGTCGTAGTTTCGAGTCTCCTTCGACCAAAGTTCAGTGTTTGTAAATATTTTGCCTGTTCTTGCGAATTCCTAGCAATGTTAAAATCACTAGTTGGTGGATGTATGCAGAGGAGGAGATGAAAAGCTGTAAACCTCCTGCCTGAAAGCTGGCTGCCTTGGATCAAAACGTCTAGCATGAGCTGGGCACCAAGGTATTCTCCAGTGTGGATGGATGGATGGTAAAACACTGCGTACCTTATTCCAAGGTTCGTAGGTTCGAATCTCCTTCGGCCAGAGATCAGTGTTTATATATATATATATATATATATCCCACAAAAAAAAAAGTTTCTCTTTTTAGATTTAGTATTATATACAGGAGAAGGGGTTTCTAGCCCCAAGCTCCCAGCATTTTTGTCGCCTCTTACGACACTCATGGCTTACGGAGGAAGAATTCTGTTCCACTTCCCTATCAACTTCCTTCAGCGAACCTATACATGGAATTACCAGCATTATTCCCAGAAATAACACATAGATACGATACCAGAACGACGTACTCATAATCACTCTCAAACTTTATTACATTAAGAACCTACAGAGAAGATTATAAAAAAGTTGATCTGGCACAAAAGCTACAGGTCTCACCATACTTCATCTCTGAGCGTTAAGGGTGTACCCTGCACATCACCAGCGATAGCAACGATGACACAAATGAGAAAACTTCCATCAAGTATATAGTCCTTCTCGTCAACAGCATGGCCAATACCACTTCTCCAGCACTCATAGACAGCCACATGAAAATATCACCCAGTTCCACGGCCACCATGAAGGACCTAGGTAAAGCAAAACCAGCCAGCACTACACAACCGGTGTCAGGGTGTAAAGGATCCTTTCCAGGGGATGCCAGAAAGCTTACATAGAAAATCAGCCAGGACCATGGTCCAGCGTGTTAGGGTACGCATATATGTTTTTTGCTATGATATGAACAACGTATGTAATCAACATCGTAGCACACATAATCATATCTTTAGGTGGGAAGGACTGGAATTACTAAAGTCTGAAAGTCTCAATTATTTTCAGTTTTAAGAACAATCACACAAAAATCGGAGAATTAGCATCTGCACAATTCTTCTCAAAATAATGATATCCAGCCATAATATTACCATGAAGTGATGTAAGAGAACAGAATATAAAAAAGGAGAATGGTGGAACTGGTTGGGTGATGCCGATAAGTTGAAGATAAAAGAAGAGAATACGTTGATCAAAACATTTATTAATTAAACGTTTCACCACGAGCAACTTCCATTCTAATACAGAGAAGCTAAAACAATCAGTATATATAGTGCAAGATATTCGTTGAGCATTTTAAACTATATTCACCAAACCTTTTGCATATTAGACGCTACTCATTTTAGCTTGTCTGCATTAATTAAGACTGGAGGAGCGACTAGTGTTGAAACGTTTCCAACTGCTCTGATCAATGCACATGTGTTTCTTATAAGCACAGCAGTAGGCCTTATGACCCATGCAAGGAAGTTAGTCCTCAATTTCCAACCCTTTCCACTCATGCAATACATGACTGCCCATTCATCTCCATCAGGTGATATCACCACTCTACCTTTGAAAAAGCCTCCAGTATTGATATTTCTTCAAGAAATGTTATGATAGTGCATATGTCTCTCATTCCTATGATTATCTTAATGCTGAAACAACCAGAGTCTGCCTTAACGATATTTCTATTATACAATATTAATTAATATTTTAACAGTATTGCAGTACTGATAGGATTATAAAATAATGGAAAATAATATATCAAGACTGACCTTGCTTTTCGGTGACTGACGGTACGTGAGTGATGCTCGTGTGGTTTTCAGGGACAGTAGTTGGAGAAATAAGACTACTTTGTGCATCCAGGAGAATGTCCAGGTAATCTTCCCGTCTTTGACCTGACTTCCGTGCTGCTATAATCTCCTTCACCACTCTTGTGAAGAATTTTACAGAATTTGACTCAATTTTGAAGCCCAGAGCATTACAAATCCTTGGGTACATGTTAAAAAGAGTAAATTTGATAAACTTTGCAAAAGAAAACTCAAAAAAAGCTGCTGCCCATTTGGCAAACTCTGGTTCTTTCTATTTTAAAAGAATTACATTCAATACCAAAAGCACAGGAAGCAATAGTGTCCATAGTAAACCGTCCAAAGATATCTTTCATATCAACATAAGGTTTCTGAGCGGCTTCTTTGAGAGTAAAAGAGACAAGAGTGTCAGCCTTGTTACAGACGAGAGGGAACATCCCACGTATCTTGCCAGAGGTGAATGTCGGAGTCATGATGGCTCGAAGTGCCTTCCACTCATCTCCGGACTTTCTGGTTAACGTTTCATTAGTAATGCTTCCTTCTTCTGCCCGAAATATCTCTCGGTCAACAAAATGTTCGAAGTCTTTAACAAGAATGCCTTTGACAAGGACTGGATCACCAATCATTAGGACAGGACGAAACAGATCATAGAGGCCACACAGCGATGCTCCGCCGTACTTGTGATATACCTGTAAGTTCAGGCAGCAATTACAATGAGAGTAAATTAACACAATAATCTGACGTCATACAGATAAAATTTGAAGTTTTCTTGTATGAAAAGTATTATATTTTTAGTATTTGATGATTAAAAAAAATATATTTAATTTACAAAAGAAATATGGTTACGTTCTTCCGTTAAAATCTTTGCAGAAGTTCTTGATGACAACCATAGAATGACGAGAACTAACCTCGTCGTAATAATCCCATCGAGATTGAAAGATTGGTAACTTCTTATGCATGTGTCCCAGGAATGGTAGAAAAGGTGGGGTACGAATACCATGGGATGACCAGTAGCTGTGGCACCAGCGAGAGTATACATAAGCCACCAGCACCAGCCCTGCTACAAACAACCACACCTCCATACTCACGCTGAAATCAAATATACTCATTAGTAGATACAGTGTAACCCCTGTATCCATGCAGGATACAATCCAAGCCCTGCCGAAGATAGCGAAAAGCACGGATAATAACAAGCTAAGGTCAGTGGTCACGTGTGGTCATACCTGCCTAAGCTCTTGTGAGTTAGCGTGGGCTGTTACCAAGCACCATGGCTTGTAGTGTTTTAGAATCTCAGGTTCAAGTGTTGAAGAAGAAGATTCTACTTCTTTAGGAGGAAAATAGGAGGCTGAGGTTTCGCATAGATGAGTTTTGGGAGTGAGTGTGAGAAGGATTTAGCTGGTAAGGAGGATATGGTCACCAGCAGTGATAGTGGCAGCCACTTTAAGTGGCAAGTGGTTCACAGTTCAGGAAGAAGAAAAGATGAAGAGAGTTAATAGAGAAGATGTGAAGGTAGGAAATCGATTCTCTGTTCTCCAAGACGAGTGTACTTCAGTGGTTAGTGAGGTTGAAGGTACCACTGATTCCCCTGCTAATCAAGTTAAGAATATTTAATAGTAAGAGATTTCTCAGGTAAGATATATGGACCATGCATTTTGTAACAGAGACAGAAAGGTCAGACAGAGAATGTGCCTTCCTGGAGCTGGTGTTGGTGACATAGTCAGTAAGTTGGATAATATTATGGCATGCAATGGGAACAAGCCCATTATCTGTCTTAGTGCTGGGGGTAATGACATTGGGAAGGGCAGGAGAGAGGAGATGCTGGATAAGTACAGGTCAACCATAAAAGTAGTTAGGTCTAAGGGAGGGATCCCAGTCATATGTAGCATTTTACCTAGAAAGGAGAATGGGCAATGAATGGATGTCTGTGTGACTTGAAAAAGCCCACTGTGTGGGTGAAAACGTTGTCAATAAAGGATCACATTAAACTGCATATGTGTTTATGTTTCCATGTCTAAGGCAATTGGTATAAATTGCTGGCTAGACAGGTTCTGCAAGGAACTTGCAATCCCAGTCATTGATAACTGGGACTTATTTCTTTGGAAACGTGATATATATGCAAGGGATGGGGTTTATCTCTTTTGGGGATGGATTTGTTGCATTAGTCAATTTGATTTTAGCGGGTAATTGATGATTTGTCTAGGAATTTAAACTGATAGATTATAGAGGTAGGGTGTTTTTGCAAAGCAATCAGGGTGCAAGCATTAGGGTTAAAAAACACCAGTTTATTACCGGGATACCTCAGTGTTATGTTTAAAAGACAATGTTCAAAATAAAGTTCTAGTAATGGCAAATAAATTTGATCAAAAAAACAAAGAGAGTAGCAGAGGGCAACGAGTGACTAGCTCCCTTAAGGTTTACTATACAATAGTAGGAGTCTAAAAATAAGATAGATGAGCTAAGATTACTTAAAAAGTGTAAGTCAATAGTTTATTTTTGGGTTATAACAGAGACCTGGTTCAACTTGAAAGATTGAGAATGCCTTCTGAATGCAACATACAGGGTTAAAAAACTATTCCACACTGATAGGGTCAACAGGGAGAGTGGGGGAGTGGCGATGTATGTCAGAAAAATTTTAAATTTTGTCTTAGACATGATACAAGATTAGAAACATCGAAACAGAATCTGTTTTGGGTACAGTTTCTCGAGGGACGTGGGCAAATTAATTTTGGGTGTGATTTATAGGCCCCCAAACCTTGATAGGGAGTGCAGTAAGCTGTTATGGGACGAAATTCATAAGGCATGTAGATATGAAAATGTTGTGATGATGGATGATTTTGAATCTAGTGACTTTCTTGATACGGTTCGGATTGCTTTTTAGAACAGGTTATGACAGAACCACTAGAGGAAACAATCTGCTTGACTTGGTTCTTGCCAACAAAGATTCACTAATTAATTATCTTGAGGTTAATGATGAGCTTGGGAAAGTGAATCACAAAATCACTTAGTTTCAATATATCATGGAATTACCCAGATAACTGCAATCAAATCTCTGTCACAGATTTTCGCTTGGCCGACTTCATGGGACTGAAAAATTACCTGGTGGGCTAAATTGGGATGTCCTGACTATGGGTCAGGTAGGCGATCTTGGTTGCTAATATGAACGTTTTTTCAGAGCAATAGTTCTAGCTGCCCAGACAACTTTTGTTCTGAGTAGGGAAACTAGATCTAACAAAAATGATCCCAAATGGATGAACAACAGATTAAAACATCTCACTGGTCAAAAGAGAGGCATATATAGGCGTATCAAAAGAGAAGATGGGAAGTTACAAAATCAATATATTCAGTTAAAGAGAGAAATAAAGAAAGGAATAAGAAAAACAAAAAGGGATTATGAGACTAAGGTAGCAAGGGATTCAGAGACTAACCCAAAGGGATTCTTTCAGGTATACAGAAGTAAGATTAGGGACAAGATTGGCCCACTTAAGAGTAACTCTGGTCAGATCACTGACAGTGATAAGGATATGTGTGAAATTCTCAATACCTACTTCCTCTCAGTTTTCACCCAGGAAAATACTAGCGATATTCCTGAAATAATAGTTTATGTAGAATAGGACTACAATAAACTATGCACGATTCCAGTAACTAGTGACATGGTCCTCAGACAAATACAGAAACTAAAACCTAACAAATCCCCAGGCCCTGATGAACTGTTTGCAAGGGTGTTAAAGGAATGTAAAGAGGAACTTAGCATACCTTTAGCTAATCTTTCACTACAAACTGGCTTTAGTGCCTGATAAATGGAAAATGGCAAATGTAATACCTATTTACAAGGCAGGTGATAGGTCCTTGGCTTCGAACTATAGACCAATAAGCCTTACCTCCATAGTGGGAAAATTTGTGGAATCAATAATTGCCGAAGCAATTCGTAGCTATCTTGATAGCACAGATTGATTAATGAATCTCAACAACGGTTTTACAAAGGGGCGTTCCTGTTTTTACGAATTTACTAACTTTTTTCACTAAGGAGTTTGAGAAGGTAGATCATGGTAATGAATATGATATTGTGTATTGGACTTCGGTAAGGCTTTCGATAGAGTTCCACACCAGAGGCTATTGAGGAAACTTAAGGCACACGGATAGGAGGAGAAATTTTTTCCTAGGTTGAGGCATGGCTGACAAATAGGCAGCAGAGAGTTTGCATAAATGGAGAGAAATCAGAATGGGGGCACGTCACAAGCAGTGTTCCACAGGGGTCAGTGTTGGGCCCGTTGTTGTTCAAAATTTACGTAAACGACATAGATGAGGGAATAAATAGCTACATAAGCAAATTTGCTGATGACACCAAAATAGGCCGTCCAATTCATTCTAATGAGGACACTAGAGCACTCCAGGAGGATTTGAATAGACTGATGCAATGGCCCGGAGAAGTGCAGATGCAGATTAATGTTGACAAATGCAAAGTTCTAAATGTTGGACAGGTAAATAACCATGCCACATATAAACTAAATAATGTAGATCTTAATAATACTGATTGCGAAAAGGATTTAGGAGTTCTGGTTAGCAGTAACCTAACACCAAGACAGTGCAGTAGTGCTCACAATAAAGCAAAACAGAATTCTTGCTTCATATCTAGAAGTATTAATAAAAGAAGTCCTCGGTGGTTCAACTCTATATATCCTTGGTTAAGCCTCAGTTAGACTATGCTGCTCAGTTCTGGTCACCGTATTATAGAATGGATATAAATGTTCTGGAAAACGTACAGAGGAGGACGACAAAGATGGTCCCATGCATCAGAAATCTTCCCTATGAGGATAGACTGAGGGCCCTGAATCTGCACTCTCTCGAAAGGCGTAGAATTACGGGGTATATGACTGAGGTGTATAAATGGAAAACAGGAATACAGGAAGGGGATGTAAATAGCGTGCTGAAAATTTCCAGCTAGGATAGGATTCGCAGCAATGGTTTCAAGTTGGAAAAATTCAGGTTCAGGAAGGATATAGGAAAACACTGGTTTGGTAATAGAGTTGTGGATGAGTGGAACAAACTCCCGAGAACAGTTATTCAGGCTAAAACGTTGTTGAGTTTTAAAAATAGGTTAGATAAATACATGAGTGGGTGTGGGTGGGTGTGAGTTGGACCTGACTAGCTTGTGCTGCTGGGTCTGGTGCCGTGCTCCTTCCTTGAGTGGAGGTGACCAGACTGGGTGGGTCATTGGGCTAATCCGGCGGGAACATGGACCTGCTCCGCATGGGTCAGTAGGCCTGTTGCAGTGTTCCTTCTTTTATTATGTTCTTATGTTCTTACATAAGTCGTTTTTCTTATATATACATAGCTATAATGTAGGGTTTTGGACGGGGTATAGTGATGGTGGCCCACTGTGGGTGGTAGTGTTGGTGGCCCACTGTGGGTGGTAGTGTTGGTGGCCCAGTGTGGGTGGTAGTGTTGGTGGCCCACTGTGGGTGGTAGTGTTGGTGGCCCAGTGTGGGTGGTAGTGTTGGTGGCCCACTGTGGGTGGTAGTGTTGGTGGCCCAGTGTGGTGTGGTAGTGTTGGTGGCCCACTGTGGGTGGTAGTGTTGGTGGCCCAGTGTGGGTGGTAGTGTTGGTGGCCCAGTGTGGGTGGTAGTGTTCGTGGCCCAGTGTGGGTGGTAGTGTTGGTGGCCCAGTGTGGGTGGTAGTGTTGGTGGCCCAGTGTGGGTGGTAGTGTTGGTGGCGCCAGTGTGGGTGGTAGTGTTGGTGACCCAGTGTGGGTGGTAGTGTTGGTGACCCAGTGTGGGTGGTAGTGTTGGTGACCCAGTGTGGGTGGTAGTGTTGGTGGCCCAGTGTGGGTGGTAGTGTTGGTGGCCCAGTGTGGGTGGTAGTGTTGGTGGTCAGTGTGGGTGGTAGTGCTGGTGGTCCAGTGTGGGTGGTAGTGCTGGTGGTCCAGTGTGGGTGGTAGTTGTTGGTGGCCCAGTGTGGGTGGTAGTGTTGGTGGCCCAGTGTGGGTGGTAGTGCTGGTGGTCCAGTGTGGGTGGTAGTGTTGGTGGCCCAGTGTGGGTGGTAGTGTTGGTGGCCCAGTGTGGGTGGTAGTGTTGGTGGCCCAGTGTGGGTGG